TGGGGGGGGTTAGCAAAGACATGTAGCAGAATACATTTTGGCCTAAATCTATGAAGAAATGTAATTTTTTAAATTTTTTATTGGATGTGTTTTATAGCAAAGTCAAAGTCAAAAATTGTTTTTTTTTTTTATTTCAAAATTGTCGGCCTTTTTTTGTTTATAGCACAAAAAAACACAGAGGTAATCAAATACCACAGAAAGAAATCTCTATTTGTGGGAAAATAATGACATACATTTTATTTATGTACAGCATTGCATGACCACGCAATTGTCAGTTAAAGTAATGCATCATATCGCAAAAAATGGCCTGGTTAGGAAGGGGGGTAAATCCTCTCAAGGATAAGTGGTTAAGCTGACCATACACCAATTGAAATCCAGTGTGTGCCCATCCCTTTAATCAATCGTTGATCAACTTCTGTCAAAGGGACATGTTGGAACATTTTACATGGTCATCTCTGTTGCAGCCAATCAGCTATGGACAGAGGTGCCAATGTCAAAATACAATGTCTTGGCACAGTGATTCCTCCACCTAGCCTCTTTATTTGATAAAGAAATATGTTTTTTTTCATGCCTCTGGTAAGGTTTAAGTTCTGAAGTCAGGTATAGTGTTCAGGGTTAATTTTAAGAATTACATTGAGTGTTCAGAGTAAGTGTTAGGGTTGAGGATAAGAATTCTTATTAAAAGTTAGGTTAGAGTAGATCCAAACTTAATGACTTTTAGTTTGCTCAAGCACTGTATACCATAACCAATTGCTATTAATAGAAAAAAATGCTTGTTTTTCACCTTTTCCTTCCTTTGTTGCATCTCAGAGCTGCTGATACCTTACAGCCTCTTTGCAGCCATTTTCTATTTATATGCACTCCAGCAATGACTGCATGTCATTTCTTGGGTTGGGTTTTCTGATGGTAAACAAGTTGATCATGTCAGTGTAATGTGTGTTGAAATGTCCATACAGTATGTAGTTTCCATCAAAAGTCAATGGAATAATGCAGGAGCGCAACTGGGAGACAAGGGCAGAACATTGTCACTCTCTAACAGTAAGTGCCCAAACAAGGACCTACATAACAGAATCACCTGGTTTTATTGTATTTAAGGATTTAAAATATTAAAAATTACTTTAAGAGTTGCAACAACATATTAAAGCTTATTCAAGTGATTGAGTTTTCATACATTTTAGGTGTCTGGGTTCAGGTAAAGATTATTCTTGGGTGTGCAGGTCATATTAACCACTTGCTGTCCGGCCGCTGTTTATAAAACGGCCGGACGGTTGCAGTCCAGGGTCGGGTTGCCGTTCATAAACGGCACCCGACATTTTGGACTGTGCGCGCTCCCTGGGAGTGCGCAGCATCACAATCCGGTGCCCACTGTGTCCTCCGGACACAGTGTAACACCGATCGTCGTACGGGACCTCTGTGCGAGGTCCCAATCATGTGATCACTGATTGGCCAATCAGTGATCACATGCAGAGTAGTAAGCAAGATGTCACTTGCTGACATCATTGTTTACTATGTGTGAAATCTGTGAATGATCACAGAGGTCACATGGTACAAGGCTATGCACAACAGCCTTGTACCATGTGACAAGCTGTGACCAATCACAGCTCACACAGTATTTCTCAATGGCTGCAACAATGCAGCCAGAGAGAAAGAGGAATGATTGCTTTTACAGCCTTTATGGGTGTAAAAGCAATCATTGTAAAAAAAAAAAATCTTTATCACCCCCCACAAGTAGTACAGTGTCACCATGGTGACACTATACTGCTAGGGTGACAGTATGTTAAAAAAAAAAAAAAACATAAATAATAATAAATAAAATAAAAATGTAAACAAATTTTTAAAAAATTAAAATTTTTGGTTATAAACTAATTTGGGTTATTTTTTTTTACTGAAAAGATAACTGAATAAATTTTGGCCAAGATTTATGATGAAATATAATTTATTTGCAAAATTTTATAAGAAAAACACTTTTTATCAACATTTTTTGGACTTTTTCATTTATACAGCAAAACAAATAAAAATCCCAGTGGTGAAAAAACACCAACAAAATAAAGCTTTATTTGTCTCAAAACAATGCTAAAAAATTCATATGGGTACAGTGTTGCATGACCGCGCAAGTGTGATAGCACTGAAAGCTGAAAATTGGCCTGGACAGGAAGGGGGTAAAAGTGTCTGGACTTGAAGTGGTTAAAAAGCTGAGGAATGAGTCATGGGGATTTGGAAAACACTGTAATGTATACCTGTTTTCAACTCTGAAAACCTCATGCTAAAGATAACTGCATTGGAACAAAAAAAACTAACATTTTGCTTTGTTGTTCCTTCTGTTTGGGCCAAAACTTATTTCCTTTACTCTTTAATGGTAAACATTTCAGATATAATAAAGAAAATAATGTACTGGACATTTTGTTCTTAGCTGTATGCCATTAAAGAACTGAGTTGAGTTACTGCTAAAAATCATGTTAATAACGAACACTAAAGCCCTAATGCTGCAGTTTTCAACACTTTCCACATATGCTGTTGAAGATAACAGGTTGTCCTGTTCAGTGTGAACTATAAATACTAACTGCAGCGATTTATAGTCTTAGCCACTTGAATGTATATTTTATTTTAAAGATATTGGCAATGCAAAAGACTTTGTGTCAAAAGTGTGTGCAAATAATATTCACATTTTTAATGTTTTTAAATGTTTATATACGAATTGACTAAATTAAGGTCAACTCTGAAGGTCTAGTTTATGTATACTTTTTATATACCACCAAGGAATGTGTGAATCTTCTTGGCAAATTAGTTTAAATGTTGACACATTTGTATTATTTTTTCCAAGATCCTTTTTTTTAAAGAAACATTTACTCAGAATAGTTATTTGTATCTATGTAGGCAAGACAGAAAGTTTTAAACTGTATATCTACCAGATACAATTTGCATTTGTAAGGGCTTGTTCACACTTGACTTTATTTCTAACTCTTGCCAAACGCCCCTATAGCATTTAACAGGCATTTGGGAAGCATTTTTAATGCTCCTCAAATGCTCCCCAAATGCCCTATGCACGGTTTTGAGGCAGTTGATAGCCCTTTTTCCAAGCATTAAAACCACATCACAAATGCCTATAATGAAGTTAAATGTTATTAACGCTCCGCAACCGCCTTACAACCATGTCACAAACGCCTGCCAGGCATTTGAGGAGTGGCACCATAGACTTGAATGGGAGGCTTCAACTCCTCCTGACTGGATAAGAGGAGTCAGTTTTGCTGTGATGCAACGCAAGGTAACGCTAACGCTTCATTGTGAACAGCTCTGTGTCCTGCCATGTGCAGAATTTTCATAGGTGTTTGAGAAGCGTTAAAAATGCTTCCCAAACGCCTGTGTGACGCCTGCTGACAAAGCTAGTGTGAACTGAGCCTTACAATTTAAACTGCCAGCATGTTGTCTGCTTAAAAAAAGCCTTATTGATAAGGAGCACTTATTCTTTGGTGTGGTAATCAATGACAGCCAATTAGAATTAACTGTAAGTCAAATTAGTGCAACACAGATTTTGATTGGTTGCTGTACTGCACTTAAGAATTATCACTTATTCATGTTATATATTTCTATGAGACAGAGTCACAGAGCTTGGTGTGTTATTTTGGATAAAATGATCCTTGTCTTTTTATATGTGACAGGTATACTGTATATAAAGAGTACCAGAAGTATAACATTTACACTGTAAACTAAAGTAGGCCATACATGGTGCAATTTTCTGTCCTGCAATTAACACGGACTGTGTTGGTGGGGGGAATCCCTCCTATGGAGCTATTGTGTTTTCCCGGTAGGGGGCACGGGGGAGCTGTCCCCACTTGGAGAACATGCGACTACTGCTAGCAGCTATAATAGTCACTAGCAATTACCACATGAAAAATCCAACATGTTGGTTTCACCCAAGTTGTACAACAATTAACTTGGGTATAATCAGCCTGCCCATAGACGGCTCTAATCCTGGATGTTGAACTGGCCAGGATTCAAACCATTTATGGCCAGTTTAAGAAGGCAATTCATGGAGAAGAAAAACTGAAAGGCATAGTGCTTGGTTTCAGCAAGGACAGAAAAACAAAGCTGTGGTTCAGAATCTGAATAATATCAATTCAGATTTCAGAAGAAGCTTTTGTTTACTTATCCAAGTCAGACTCCCATGGAACAAGAGAGAAACGTTTTCATAGTTGACACATAAAGAACCATTATGCTTTATGATAGCTTTTGGTATAGCACCTATAAAATTGCTCAGTAGGACTGTCATCGACTGAAGCTTTCATATAACATTGATTTGGTTACCAGGGTAACCAACTAGCTAGTTACATGCTCTAGTAGAGATGGTAATATCCTCTCTTGTTCTCTAATGTTGCAGTCTTACTTTTGCTAATATCGTTCTTTAAGGCATATTGAAAAACAGGCAACATTACATTTACCTGCATAAAGTGCTTAACTAACAATTTGGAGAACATCTATAGGTAGTTCATTCACTAGTAAGCAAAGATGCGTTGTGAGCCACAATCACAGAACAAGAGGTGGCTTATGTGATTGTAGTCAGCATGTTCAGAAATGAATCACCGCAACAACAGCACTGGAGGTATACTGGCCACGGCCTCTTTATTACTGCTATGAAATATGTAAATAACTTACATCATGTTATCAATAATCATTTAACCACTAGCCTACAGGGCACTTATACCGCCTTCCTGCCCAGGCCAATTTCCAGCTCTCAGCGCTGTCGCAATTTGAATGACAATTGCGCGGCCAAACAACACTGTACCCATATGACATTTTTATCATTTTTTTGTGACAGATGGAGCTTTATTTTGGTGGTATTTAATCACCTCAGGGTTTTTTATTTTTTCTTAAACAAACCACTGAAAATTTTGAAACAAAAATGTTTTTTTTCTTAGTTTTTGTTATAAAATTTTGTAAATAAGTGATTTTTCTCCTTCACTGATGTGCGCTAATGAGGCTGCACTAATGGGCACTGATAGGCTGCACTGATGGACACTGATAGGTGGCACTGATGGGCACTGATGAGGAGGCACTGGTAGGTGGCATGGATGGGCATTGGCAGGCATCACTGATAGGCACTGAAAGGCAGTACTCATATATGGCACTGATAGGCAGCACTGATAAGCGACACTGACTGGCACTGTTAGGCGGCACTGACTGGCACTGATAGGCAGCACTGATGTGCACTGATAGGCAGCACTGACGCGCACTGATAGGCAGCACTGACGTGCACTGATAGGCAGCACTGATTGGCAGCACTGATAGGCGGCATTGATTGGCATTGATAGGTAGCACTGACTGGCATTGATAGGTGACACTGAAAGTCAGTTCAGATGGGCACTGATATGTGGCATTGATGTGCACTGGTAGGCACTGATATGTGGCACTGATGTGGCACTGATGGGCACTGGCACGAGGCACTGATGACCAGTGACATAAGGCACCGATGGACACTGACAGGTGGCACTGCTGGGGCTACACTGATCATCAGGGCACACTGATCAGCAGTGCCCTGATGATCAGTGTACATGTCCCCTCAGCGGAAAGCCGATTACCGACTCAGCGTGACAGCTCGAGAGGAGAGAATTGCCAATAACCGGCATTTCCCTGTTTACATGTGATCAGCTGTGATTGGACACAGCTGATCACATGACCGAGCCGACATCTTTGGCTCTTTCCGTGATCGGTGATCCGCTGTGTCCGAGGGACACAGCGCACCGCCGATCGCCACACTGCACACTCCCTAAGCTGCGCATGCGCAGTGAGAATGGGAGGACGTCATATGACGTCCTCCCAGAACGAGAGAACCACCTTGCGTCCGTCATATTACTATATGGTGGGCGGGAGGTGGTTAAAGTTACTTTAAATACCATCAACCATTGAGAACAACCCAGCCACCTTGACTCAGGTTGAAAATATATCCAAAGAAATTGAAATAAACTGTTCCCCTTAGTAGAAAGGTGACCAAAACCACATATTAATCTGGCCGCGACAAGGGAGGGGGGAGGGGAGCTGTCAGACAGGGGTCTAGGGACTAGGGACTGGCTCAGAGGCTCTCACAGAGTTCCTTTTTATAGGGGTTAAGTCCTTCCCAGAATGTTCCAAAGGTCAACTGACCCTGGGCTACAGGTCATGTGACCTTCTAGAATGTTCCCCAGGGTCAGCTGACCTATCCTGTCTCCGGGCAGATCACACCTGTGTCAGCTGACAGGGAATGTTGCTAGGCAGATTTCCCACAGCTGAATCAGGTGCAACCCAACCTTTGACCACCCAGGCACCTGATGAGAAAGAAGGGGGGGCCTTGAAACTGTCCACACACAGCTGTCACAAGCCCATGAGTGTGGGGGTCCTTAAGACAGGCTTCCCCTTTACTTCCATTTTTTAACCACTTTACCGCCACCCTATAGCAGAAATACTGCTACAAGGTGGCAGGGGTGCACACAATCACACACATATATATATGTGTGATTTTGCATTCATGGCTGGTGATTACAAGCAATACCGACAGGAGAGAACTGTATGTAAACGATACAGTTCTCTCTCCTGTCAGTTCCAGCACACTGCTTTGTATAGCTCTGCATAACAGAGCCATACAAAGCAGTGTGCTTACAGTGGAAAGCACAGACACAACCCAATAGTAAAGTACACACAGCACACAATTAACCCTTCAATCGCCCCAGATGTTAACCCATTCCTGCGCAGTGTTATTAGTACAGTGTCAGTGCTTTTATTAGCACTGATCACTTAATAGGTTTCACTGGGGATGTTGGTGACACCAAGTCAGATCCCTCCAGTGTCAGAATGCCCAACACAGTCCCTTAGTCCTGCTATAAGTCACTGATCACCACTATTACTAGTAAAAAAAAAAATTCCAGTATATATACCGCCATTTGTAAACACTATAACTTTCACGTAAACCAATTAATTGACACGTAGTGGGATTTGTTTTAGCAAAGACATGTAGAAGAATACATTTTGCCCTAAATTTATGATGACATTGTATTTTTTTTTATATTTTTATTGGATATGTTTATTTGCAAAAAGTCAAAAATAAAGTTTTTTTCTCAAAATTGCCGATCTTTTTTTATAGCGCAAAAAAATAAAAACACATACGCGATCAAATACCATGGAAAGAAAGCTCTATTTGTGGGAAAAAAAGGACTTAGATTTAATTTGGGTACAGCATTGCAATACTGCCCAATTGTCAGTAAAAGTAACACAGCGCCATAACACATAAAATTGCCTGATCAGGAAGGAGGTAAATCCTCTGGAGGGCAAGTGGTTAAGTGGCTGCCAAATGTAGTTGTAATGAATAAAAACCTGCAGCCACCACCAAGAAATATGCAATACCAAAAATAATAATAAATTAAATGATCCAATGGATTTGAAGATGAAATAAATTAAACCTATTGATATATAAATATTTAAAAATTCAATACAGCATTAGGTTTTAATTTATGACTGGATCACCAGCCAGGTAAAGTCACCCCTGCTGTATGATGTTCGATAACAACACTTTATTAACCTGTGCCCAGATCACATATAGTAAAGTATTTGCATATTCTAAAAAAAGCAGTAATATTTTTAAAAATAATCTTTCCTTTTTAATCCCTTGGCTCCAGCGCCTCCCTGTCCTTTAAGGGTTTCAGAAGCCGGGACAGGGTTTTAAGGTCATGTGGCTGCCGTGATTCGCCATCAGGAAAGGTGCCAGTCGAAAAAGGAGATCGGGACCTTTCCGTTAGTACTGGACATGTGTGCTGGGAGCGCGCAGAGCGTGCGCTCTCAGCACATATGTTATTCTTAATTGCACACAAATGTGTGGCCACTCGGTGTCAAGGCCCAGACTCCAGGAGGCCACACGAAGCCTCGCAAAGAGGTTAATTTGCAGTTGCTGTAATTTTTGGTAAATTCAATGCTATGTAGCAACCTTGAGGCATCATGTTTATGGTTGGTGTACACAACAACCTTAGAAATGTAATTTCCTGTTCATGTGAAAAACTCTGCACTAAGTTACAAGTCAGGTTTTAGGCATCCTCTGTAACACAAATGTCCTTTTTGTGAGATACTCCCTAACGGTTGATCATTTCTAAAGAGGTGCAGACACTACAGCTTTTCTCATCAGCATCAACTGCTTGTAATGAATTAGTCACTCATTCAGATTCACAAAGCCAATTTAACAAAGAGCTGCTCCTTCAAAGCAGAAACAGTTAGAAATCTGCAACAAATTTTGTTAAAATCATTGCAATGTTCATTGATCACCCAGAGGGGATTGTTGTTGGTGATATCCACAATCTGATGTATATTATTTCACAGGCGAAAATATGAATGAATTGGTGGAAGCCAGAACTCTTTGGACACATGTATTTATACACTTTTCAGATATTTATATAATTTGCACATCATTTAATGACTTGATGGAATCTTATTCATTTATTATTCAGTTTGGAACATGTTTATTGATTGATTGACTATGCACAATATATATTGACACAGGACAACACTCATGGATTATATATTTTATTGGATTGTTGTTTAATTGTATTTAGTTTGCGATGCTGCATTAATTATCCAGTTACATTGACCTGTATTTGCAAGCTGCCTGCTCTCTCCGAGCGATGACCTCTTTTCTTACATTTATTATAACAACTTGTCACAAATTAATGTTCAACCCTTTCCTGAAGCTTATTTCTTATTATTAATAAAAGTACTACACAAAAGAGGACATATAAAAAGCCTTGGTCATGAGGATGTGTGAGGGTTCCAAAATTCCCTTAATTACAAACTAGCAAAATCACATTCTCAGTGTTTTGTTGACATACCAGCTTTGTGAAGACGAAACTTCTTTTACATAGTTTAAAAAAAAAAAAAAAAACATTTTCCCCTAATCTATTGAATCACAATGTTTTAATTTATGGTGACATAGTGAGTAAAAGATTATAGCCTAAAACTTGATAAAGCTCATCTGTCTGATTGGTTTGCCCAGAGGTGCCAACACAGCTGTTTAATAATACCCTTGATTACCTAAAGTATGACTATTATTAGCTAGCTGATGCCTCTAAACAATTAATTTGAAATTGAATGAAGCCATCTTAAGTAGCTCTAAATTGGAATTGAATAATTAAAAAATGTTGTTTACAAAAAGGCACAGTTTCTTTTTGCATTTAAAACAAAAAAGGCATAAAAACAAAAACAAATATTGAACACAATTTTGCTTTATTCCCAAGAAAAAAAAATAGTTTTGAGCTTGATGTCCTCTAGAGCATTTTACTAAGATAAGCAATTTCTTTAATTGGAGAGAACTGTTTGCATATTTTATAGCTCCCTATTCTTGTTAGAAGTGCAGAACATATGATGAAGTGTCTCTTGTATGCAGTTTAGTGGTTAAAGCAAGCATTAAAATGTTGCATCTGTCACTCAGTTCTGTCGACTGAAATGCCCTTGCCTCAAGCAAGCTAGTTATGTTTTTACAAGTTTTTGCTTTAGAAGGATTTCCTTTAAAACTTAAACTCATGGATAAAAATAATTTAAAAAATGAAAATAAAAAGTTGTTTTGTTGTCGAAGTTCTAAAAAACACATGCAACTTACTTGAACGTATCTTGATCTATTACTAATTTCCAACATATTCTATGTTAGCACTATAGAATTCATGGCAATAGCTTTCCTCTTGAAAAATAACACATCTGTAAGTTCTGTAGAAGCAGTGTACTACAAGTAGAAGGTGGGCTTTTTATCTCCCTGAGAATTGAATCCATCTGGGACCATTTATAAAAACTGAGAAATATCTTTAAAAATATGATCTTAATATAAAAAGTTACATGATTATTCAAAATTAGCGTCAATTCCATCTAGAAATCCCAGTAGAATATGTTTACCTTTTCTTTGCATTCCTGCGGCAGCCAGCCTCTGGAAGCAAAAAATATTACCAATTCTAAGAATAGAGAAGAATGTGACTATTTCCCCTTCCATTCATTAGACAGAACGGCTTAGTTTTTGGCCCAAAGCTCTGGAGTGATGGGAGAGTCCTCAGTCCTGTGAAAACTTACACCTGTGCAAATGGCAGCTTACACAGGTTTCCTTTGCTTGTTCCTTGGTTTAATCCAGCAGAAGAGCAAACGTATGTTCTGAATGCCCTGCATGAGCAAAGCACAGGTCTGCTATAGATTTTCATTTGGGTTTTTTCTATCTGAGCTTTAACAAGTTGGATCTACTGTATAGACAGCATCAACATCAAGTAAAACCATATCTTCTGAACCAATCTGAACTGCTACCTTGTGTAACAGTGTGTCTTACATTTGCTTTACAAAAGATATGTCAATTAAATTATCACTTTTTTCTGGATCATTCATATTTCTCCTTTCATCTACTTGATGTCAAATCACATACATTAAGTGGTTATACAGTGATGATTCCTATCCTGGCATATTTTTTTTTTTTGGCCTGCGGCTGGCTTTTATGTAAAAGCCATTCTAGCAGCCATCCTAGCAGCTGATCAGCCACTGCATGGGTTTTACAGGTGGTGGGAGGGGTTGCACCCCTCCTACTACTTGCCATGTCCCTTCTGGGAGAGCCCAGAATGGAATCTGGTGATTATGATGGCTTATCATGGAAATCATTGAGGACTAGAAGGTC